TGTGGATGGAGCAGCGGCCAAGGGTTTATAAAGCAAGCGGCGGAGTCCTGCAGCTCACGGGGCATAACACGGTAAATAAATACGAGCGTAGGGGATCCGCGCGTGAACGAAGCCCCACTCTCCTGCCCCTTTTGCTTTTGCTCCAGAGCCGGCATTTTTTAAAAGGGCTTGACTCCAGCCTGGGATTCGGAAAAGACTTTGCAAAAGACCACCCCGCCAAGGGGGAAAGGCGCGCAGTTGGGCACCGTCTGCCTTCGGCGTCTCTTTTTAAACGGTGCTCGGATACTGTAAGTCCACAAAGAACTGGGGGAAAGAACCGGGCAGGCGGGCGGGCGAGAGAGGCGGGCAGAAAAAAAGGGGGGGAAATCCACACACACTTGCGCAGGGAAAGGGGAAAACGGGTGGGCCGGCCGGCTCCCCTCTCCTCTTTGTGTGTGTGTGTTTGTCTCTCTCTCTCTCTCTCTCTCTCTCTCTCAATTCTCCCCCACCCCAAAAGCGGGGAGGGGGCGACCTTGCAAAAGGGAGGGGGCTTCTCCCGGTTGCGGGCAAGGCTGGAGGTGCGCCTTTCTCGCCCAGCCCGGGTAAATTCGGCCGTATTCTTCAGCCAATTCTTCATGTTATGCTCCAGGTACGGCCCTCCCCCCTTCCCTTCCATTCCCTGCGGCACTGCGTGTTGAGGCTGGGACGGAATACCCCGGGCCGCCGCAGCCAAGCACGAGGGGGAACGCCAGACGCCTCGCCCAAAGGGGGGAGGCCTGGCGATGCTGCGCTCTGCCGGGCGCTCACCGACAGAGCCGGGGGGGGCCGAGGCGGCCACGGAGGAACAGCCAACTGCCGGCAACCAGCCGGAACTGCTGGGGCCGGCCCGTATTGAAGAATACGGCCGAATTGGGGTGGGGGAGAATTGAGAGAGAGAGAGAGAGACAAACACACACACGCACACACAAAGAGGAGAGGGGAGCCGGCCGGCCCACCCGTTTTCCCCTTTCCCTGCGCAAGTGCGTGTGGATTTCCCCCCCCCTTTTTTTTCTGCCCGCCTCTCTCGCCCGCCCGCCCGCCCGGTTCTTTCCCCCAGTTCTTTGTGGACTTACAGTATCCGAGCACCGTTTAAAAAGAGACGCCGAAGGCAGACGGTGCCCAACTGCGCGCCTTTCCCCCTTGGTGGGGTGGTCTTTTGCAAAGTCTTTTCCGAATCCCAGGCTGGAGTCAAGCCCTTTTAAAAAATGCCGGCTCTGGAGCAAAAGCAAAAGGGGCAGGAGAGTGGGGCTTCGTTCACGCGCGGATCCCCTACGCTCGTATTTATTTACCGTGTTATGCCCCGTGAGCTGCAGGACTCCGCCGCTTGCTTTATAAACCCTTGGCCGCTGCTCCATCCACACACGCTCGCGCAGGGAAAGGGGGAAACGGGTGGGCCAGCCGGCTCCCCTCTCCTCTTTGTGTGTGTGTGTGTGTTTGTCTCTCTCTCTCTCTCTCTCTCTCNTTTGTGCAAAGTGCTACAATCGCGCGGTTACCAGAGGGGTGGGGTTGCAAAGAGGCCGATTAGCCCAGGCGGAAAAATGTGTGTGCTGAAAAATGCCCCCTCGGCTTATACGCGAGTCACCATTTTTTCCCAGTTCTTTGTGGCAAAATAGGTCCCTCGGCTTATAGTCGGGTCGACCTATACTCGAGTATATACGGTATACTGTTTTCACGAGAAAATGTTAGAACTGGCTTTTCCAATTCTGTAACCACATGGAATCTTCAGTAAAGATTATACTCTTGGTAAAAAAATGTCCCAGGATTTTTTTTTGCTGTCTAACTTAGTGGGATGATTGACATTAAGCCAGTTCTCACAGAAATAGCCTACCTGGATCCCACCAGGAGGTAACCTCGAGATGTCGGCTATGTCGGAAGAGGAAAAAAAACTGGGAGAGACCCCAGCTCGGGAAAAGCTGGCACCACCTCAGGCCGGAGCAGGAGTGCAGTAAAACTAAAGACTGAGAAGTCTGAGCAGCCAGCCACGGCCACAAAGTAGCGAGTGAGGGACGCCCCATACCAGGAGCCCCCCAGACTGTGCAATTGAGATCATGCCTGGGGCCAAATTGCCAAAGCCAAAACTATATTCAATGATACCCAGGGAGATGGAGTAGCTCCATACCTTCATTGAAAAAAAATTAGCCAGGGGATTCATTCAGCTGGCCAGGTTGAGGATGGCGGCCCCTGTGTTTTTTAAAGAGAAGAAAAATAGGTCCCTTAGGCTGTGCGTCGACTATGGAAGGCTAAATGGTATATGCATGGAAAATATGTATCCCCTCCCATTGATGAAGGACATGCTGGGGCACCTTGCAAAGGAGAAGATCTTCACTAAGCTGGACTTGAGGGAGGCATACTATCAAGTGAGAATTAAGAAAGGGGATGAGAGGAAAACGGAAAATGCCCCTAGGCTGCTACCAGTTCCGAGTGATACTGTTTGGATTACAGGGGCCCCCAGCAGTGTTCATGCAGCTGATAAATGACATACTGCACGAGCACCTGTATAAAGGAGTCCTAATGTGTCTGGATGATATATTAATTATACCAAAACCAAGGAGGAGCATGTGAAATTAGTCAGAGCAGTGATTGAGAAGCTGCAGAAGGCGCAAATTTATGCGATGTTCTCTAAGTGTGATTTCCATAAAGCCAGCCTAGACTACCTAGGGTACCAGATTTCGAAAGATGGCATAGAGATGGATCCTGGGAAGGTCTGGGCAATATTAGAGTAGGAGCCTCCGCGAATGAGGAGACAATTGCAAAGTTTTCTGGCTTTGCGAACTTCTATTGCCAATTCATCCCCACATTCGCTCAAATAGCCCTGCTGATCATGAACTTATTGAAGACGAAAGTGGAAGCTAATTCCAGCCCAGCCAACCCCTGAACTGGTCACTTGAGTGCCAAACCACATTCAAGAACCTAAAACGTCTTTTGGCGCCGAACATGAAGCACCCTGACCCAGAGAAACCTTTTGTGATATAAGCAGACACCAGCAATGTGGCCGTGGGGGTAGTGCTGCTCCAGAAGAATGAAAAAAGAAATTGCAGCCATGCGCCTACACATCTCGCAAGCTCTTAGAGACTGAGAGATGATAGGCTATCTGGGAAAAGGAAGTCTACGTGGTCCACTGGGCTCTCCTAACCTGGAGGCAATTCTTGAAAGGCAGTAAGAATCCTTTCGAGGTGTGGATGGACCACAAGAACTTAAAAGAAATGAGGTCTTCCCGAAAGTTGTCTTCCAAACAAGTCCGATGGGCCCAATACTTCAATCAGTTCAAATTCACTCTCTGCTATCTACTGGGAGGGTGAATTTTTTTGGTGGACAATAGACAGTAGGAGGTCCAGGGGACAAAGGAAAAGTTTATCTATGCTGTTTTCGCAGGAAAACATTAGAACTGGCTTTCCTATTTCTGTAACCACATGGAATCTACAGTAAAGTTATATTCTTGGTAAAAAAAAAATGTCCCAGGAATTTCTTTTGCTGTCTAACCTAGTGGGACGGTTTATATCAGTTTTAAATCTGTGGTTAGATATCATTATACTGGTTTTGATTTCTTATGTTTATTTTTTAAAATTTAATTTTAATTGTGCACTGCCATGAGTCTTTTAGAAATATGACACTATAAAATACAGTAAGTAATATCCCTCAGCTTATTTCTTCAGTCTTGGTAAATTAGCAGCTTCTTGAGAAGCATATCCAAATATACTGCACATATTAAATCAAATCTGCAAGCGTTATGCAATGGAATACTATGTACAGTGCACTCTTTACACATATATACAAACAAACAAAATCCTGAAAATAACTTGAGTAAGAAACACATTTTTCTGTAACTTATTTATAGCTGTTGAAATAGCAGTTTAAAATATGCCATTATCAAAGCAAAACTGGCCAGGTGGATAATTAGTGCAGAATAATTTAAATATTAATTTCAAAGTTAAATCTGTGAAATATCACAATGTTAGATGAATCATATTTTACTGCAATTTTAAAAATGGTTCCACTGGTATGTTTTTAAACTGGGCTGGGGGAAAAAACTGGAACAATCACAATGACAAATAATACAAATCAGATTTCCTTAATGGATAAACGATATGCAATTCAAACGAATCTTGCTTAGATATTTTTTTTAAAAAAATAAGCCTCCTGACCACTGAGCCTTGGCAATTACTGTGACTTGGAGACATCATACATGATAGTGCTTTCTGCCCAATGTACAAGCTGAAGCAACTACTCCTTGCCAAACAAGCAAAGGCATTCATTATACATCCCTTTTTTGACTTTTCCTGGCAACAGATCATAAAATATATAAAAATATATCTTTTATAATTTTTCTATATGCCCTTTATTGCTCAGGTATTTTCCAAGGTCATTTTCTAGATTCCTCACCAATTTCATTTCTTCTGAGAAGCTGAAGGGGGGGGGGGAATCCGGAAAAGCTATTGGCTTGTTTCCTATTAATTTTGACTGATATGCCTTTCTCTTTCTGCCAAATAAAATCCAAAATCCCCACCTACTCCCAAAGGTATTTTTCTCCATTAAACATCCATATTTTTTCATCTCTAATGATAAGAAATTGTGCAGTACTGCAGTTAGCCTAGGAAAAAGACACAAATTCAATAAATAATTCCAATTGCTAATTATTTTGTTAGCCTGTATTAAATAAAGTCAGGGCAGGACAGTAAATAGCATGTTTTACTAGAATGTAGGAAAATCCAGGTCTAAATGCCCAATGGCTTATTATACTCTCTGTATATTCTTTAGTCAATTATCCCCTCTCTCTCTAGTGCTAGACTATTTCACAAATTTCAAATGAGAAGAAAGGTGGAGGAAAGGCAACCATATACAGTGAAATGAAATTCTGAGTAACAAAGATATAAATAATATATTTCAAAAATTACATTCTTTAAAAATGTTTTCACTACAGGCATATATCCTTTTTTTGCTGTAAAAGACCAATTTATTTCATTATTAAATAAAGAGATACTTACTGTGCTGATTAATAAGCATGCGAAATGAGATGCGATTGGTATAGAATCTATCTAAAAAATATTGAATATTACTGCTCACAAAAGGATCAAATCCATACTTTTCCTTGTATTCAATAACTCCTTGGGCCATGGTAGGAACAACATCATTGTGACGATTCCTGACTTTAATCAAAATATCTAAAAAGCTGCAGAGAAAAAAAATAGAAGCAAAAGTATTACAATTACTGTTATTTTCAAATTTTGGATAATAGCTTCAAAATATCATTCATAATTCAGAACCATAAAGTTTGCTGAAGAAAAAGGTTGAACAAAGGTGTCCAGAATGTTAATGAAAATTTCTACTGTGCAATAATTGTAGAATTAAAAATGGTATTATTGTTGTGCAATAGTTCTAAAATAAAAATGATATATCATATAGTTTGCATAGTGATTTTGGGATAGCAGTACGCTGCTAGGTAATTATTGAGTATTTTCAAACTTACACATTATTAGTATTATATTTATTTTAGTGATTTTGGGTCAACCACTATTAGTTCAAGCTAGTTTTGAATTTTAAAAATTTAAATCATTGTGAATAATGTCTACAAATTGTAATTGGAAACTAACAATGCTTCAGACAATTTTAAAAAGAAATGGAGAAGAGAAACTCTATGCAAAAGGAAAAACTGATCAGAGTCTACAGTTAGCAGATCAGATCTTCTACATTTGCGCTAAACTGGATAAATTTATTATTGGAAACATGATGGCTAGAGAATAATGGACACAATGATTACATTATCTACATACATTGCATGAAAAAAATGATAATTGCAATATAATCCTGGGTAATGATTAACTGTTACTGATATAATTCATAAATATATAGTCAAGAGTACAAATATGGCTTTCTATGAGTATTCTAATTAGAATTAGTAGCTTTGTTTTCTCAAATTATCTTAATATCCAAGGAACAGTAAATGTTAATACCACACAACATAATATTGGATCCAACAGCCATTATTCATGAAACTCTAAGCTTTCTTAAAAAAAATTAGACATATAAAACTGACTTTAAATTTCACTTCTCCTATCAGAAATTTCTTTAAAGGAGTAAAGAAATGTAAATATAACATTTTCTACCCAGTAATAAAATCGTATCAGTTTTCCTTGCAGGTACTTTTCTAGCATATATTTCTGATTGCAAGAGAGCATCATTCTTCCTAAGGTTCCTTACTTGCCTTTTTCCTCATCTAATCAGCACAGCTTAAAAAAGGTTGAAAATTCCTCATCCAGTTTTCAAATGATTTATTACTCTAATAATAACTGAAAAATCTGAACAGTAATACTGAATCCCAAAACTTTATGTTGACCAAGGAGTATTTAAACTACTCACTTGGCTTGCTGATTGGAATAGTACCCCTTCTTGAAAATTACTTAATGCTTAAAGACTTAGATTAGAACTTGCTGATTCTATGAAGATTTGATAATGCCAAAAGAAGTCAATTTTCTACTTTGCTACTTCAAATTAAGAAAACAGAAGTATACAGAAAATGTGAATTTAAAAAATATATTTTTCTAAAATACAGAGACATGCCAAATAGGAATATGATACATGGCAATAAAATTGGATTACCTGATTTTTATGACATACTTTCAAAGCCAAAGTATGAAAAATCCACTCTTAGTAGATAATGTTTTTCACAAAGAAATTTGACTTGGAGCATTTTGTGTATGCTTAGTCTTATCTATGCTCTTTGAACTAAACTTTTCCAAACTATTTAATGCTATGCTCATTGAAAGCTTTAGCTCAAGAAGGGAAAACAAATAGTTTCAAGATATTCTATATTTATTTGCTTAATTTTTATTTATTAAACTCAATCTAGTCCTTACATCTTTCTGAAATAATTTCACCTGACATTGTAATATTGATTTTTCCATTTTAAACAAGATCAAGCTCCTAATTAGAAACACATTAGTATTGTATAATTTCTTCTAATACAATAATTAAAAATTATTACAATTAAAAACTTAATTTAAAAATTCAAAAGTGCTCATTGAACTATTGCAAGCTTATTACAAGACTAAACTCTGCCCAAGTTCAACATACTGATTTCATGTTTCAACACCTTTCTTTACTTACTTATCTAAAACATGTGGATCTTCAGGATTTTTATTTTCATACTCTAATAGCTCAAGAAAGCTCTGCATATACCTGAAACATAGAAGAAGAATATATTTGATATTTGCATATTAAATCTGCAGACATCAACCTGGAGGGAAATTTCTAATACTCTGGAAGGTAGACTTGAACACTGGACTCTATCGAACAAGATGCAGTTCAGTGGTGAGAATAGTAAGGTCCTGCACTTAAGAAGGAAAATTCAAATGCACAGGTATATAATACGTAGTACCTGGGTGAACAGTAGTAACCGTGAGAGGGATTTAGGTGTCCTAGTGCAGGGATCCCCAACCCCTGGGCTGTGGCCTATTTACAACCGGGCAGCACGAGTGGCGGCCGTCGCACATGCATGCACCACTCAACTTGTGCAAGCAGCAGGCTATTGCAAGTACACACGCACAGCTCAACTTATGCAAGTCAAGCTGCATGCACATGCATGCTGGCCCACCATTCGCATGACCTAGTTACACTCTCCCCACCAGGCCACCAAGCCACTTAAATATTAGTCAGCAGTGTGATGCAGCTATTAAAAAAGCCAGTGCAGACTTAGGCTGTATCAATAGAAGATAGCATCAAGATCACAATATGTGATAGTACTGCTATCTACTACACCATGAAGGACACACTGCATCCTGTTCTGGTTGCCACAATACAAAAAGATGTTGAGATCCTAGAAAGAGTGAAGAGAAGAGCAATGAAGATGGTAAGAGGTCTGGAGGCTAAACTGTATGATGATGGTGAACAGTTAAGGGAACTAGGTATGTCTAGCCTAACAAAGAGAAGGATTAGGGATGACATGATAGCTGTCTTCCAGTACTTGAACTGTTGTCACAGGGAAGAGGGGGTTGACTTATTCTCCAAAACACCAGAGGACAGGACAAGAAGCAATAGGTGGAAGCTCATTAAAGACAGATCCAATCTGGAACTAACGAGAAATTTCCTGACAGTGAGAACAATCATTCAATGGAACAGCTTGTCTCCTGGAATTGTAGCAGGGGTTGGACTAGAAGACATTCAAGGTCCCTCCCAGCCCCATGATTCTATGAGTTAATAATATTATTTTGGGAAAAGAAATAAAAAAATCAGCTCCCCCCAGAAGTTAGTAAAGATGCAAACGTACACTTTAAGGATGGACAACCTTTCCTGAGAAAAGTAGTCAACATGGAGTAGGAGAAAAGCTTCTGATGGATAGAACAATTTTTCAATGCAAACAAGGCATAACACAAGTATCCAGATTGGGGTGATTTTTTTTTTACACAGAAGTTAATAACAACCATAGCTATCATAATTTTGTAATATGAAAGATCAACATTTTCAATATTATTTGTATAGGCTTCTGTAACAGAGAGAGCTATAACATGAGTGTTATCACATGACTGTGAGGTGTTGGTAATGACTGTAAGTGCAACAGATTGCCAAGCATCCACGTCACAATCACATGACATGTGGTGTGTGTGCGCACGCATGCTTTGTGATGGTTGGAAGTGCTTTACAGGCCTTAAAGTACTCTTTCCAAGGCTATTAATCTGGACAATTGTTAAGTTACCAGTCATTAAGCAAGGACTACCTATACAGGTAAATAATTTTTTAAAGAAAGGTCAACTTAACATAACATAAATTATCTTCAGTGGCAAATGATAATCTTAGTCTTATGCTATAAAATTACATAATTAATACATCCATGTATCCATGTTTATACATATACACAAAAATTATTTTAAATTGTTGTAGCAGACTAAAAAAAAACTTAGAAAATTAGGGGAACAGTAAAAAAACAGGGAATAGTTTCTACCAGTAAGGCCAGAAAAAAAGGGAATTGAGCTTTTCTAAAAGGAAAGAAGTAAAAATGCACAAGGCAAGTAGAGAATGGAGCAGAAACACAGCTACTGAATTAATTATAAGGAAATACAGTACGTTATAACTTTTCATTTGCCCTTATTTTAATGAGTGCTTACCAACTTTGTACTAGCTTAACAGAAGGCCTATTCAACAAATTGTCAGGCAACAAATTTACTTCTCTCATAGTATTAGCAAGTCGCACAGGAAGCTCTTTTCTCAGGAACATGTATGATGTTTTCTCACATGCATTATCACGTCCTGTGGAAAGAAAAGAGTTTTATGTTTTCATGTTCTTGAAACATTCTTAGACAATACAAATAAGATATTAAAATATAATTTATTAGGACTGCACTTTATTATTGTAAGTTTTCTTCTTGGTTACTAAATACGATTTCAATCTGATTATAAGAATTCTGCATCAAGCTTAACATCATTCCTGGCTATGGCTGTTTATTGTAGCTTCTTTTTTTACCCAAACTAGTCATTTTGTAAAGGATGAAGATCTGGGAAATATAATGAACTTCAGTGATTAAACTCTGATATGTAATATATAAACATACATTGCAACTCTATCCAAATTATCAACCACAACAAAATCATCAACTTCAAGAATTTCTTACCATATTTCACATATCATATCTATTAAAGGTTTCACCTGTCCAGTCGTAACCAACTCAAGAAAGGGGGTGCTCAGCTCTGATTCTCAGCCAAGGAAGCCTGCGTTGTCTGACAAAACGCTTCCGGCGTCATGTGGCCAGCATGAAAATATGGAACACAGAAACCTTCCCATCGAAACGGTATCTATTTATTCACATTTGCATGCTTTCAAATTGCTAGTTTGGCAGAAGCTGGGACATATAATAGCTCATACCATCACATGACACTCAGGTCTCAAACCCGGGCTGGCTTTCCAGCTGACAAGCCTGATGTCTTAACCGCTGAGCCGTCATGCCGCCCAAGACCATTATTAAGGCAACTGAGTGCAATAGCACAGCCACAATGCTCTGAACTTCTGGTCCTGTATATCAAAAAATTTAATAGACTAGTTCCTATTTAATGTACAAGTTAGATCACAAGAAGGTCCTTTCCTGAAGTTCTCAAATCCTAGATAAACTAGCTTAGGATATAATGCAATCTTTAATTAGCTTCCATTTGCTTCTGATGAAGACTGGATCCAACATTATATATATTTTTATATATTTTCAATTGTGTTAATTCACATTCAGGATATAACGATAACGATTAACAAAATAAATCTGTTTGGTCCAAATTACTTCTTTTCAAAACAAATATTAGAGGATTTTAATAGTACAATACTTAATTTTGTCTCTATACAGATGGTTTTGTATGTGGATGGTTTTAGGAATGGAGAGATAGGTTAATTCATTGTTGAATTTCTCTACAATGATAGTTAGATTAGTATTACAGTACACATATACCAACAAACTCCATGTACTTCTCATAAACCAATGGTTCTGTTGGAAAAGTGTGTGTGATAAAAGAAAATCTGTTCTCTGAAAAAAGTACAGTCTTAAAATGCTAGGAACATCTCAGAAAGTTAGATTTTCTAAAATATTTCCATTAAAATTAATGATAATTAAGGGTTGTACTATGTGCCTCATCCTCATGAAATTTAATGAGCCTTTAGCTTTAACTTTGTTATTACTTTAATGTATAATCTTATGTACTCAGCTAAGTAGTAAGCTTAATAGGGCTTGTTCCCAGTCAAGTGGATATTGGATTGTAATGCTATCTTCAAATTATCAAAAATCCATTAAAATTTATTCACTGTTCTTATAAGGAAACTTAACCATGCTATACAGTATAAAGTCAGACATTTAGATTTCAGATTAGAGACTATACCCAACTTCATTCCTCTTACCCACCTCTTTAACAGCAGACACCACCCCAGTAATATTGAAAAAGGTCAGGTGAACTCAGACCTATGTTTTACCTTAATGAGCTGTCAGTATTCCATTTTATGGAAAAGAAAGATTGCAAATGCATTAGTCATAGTCACAAAAGACAACTGCCTGAAAAATGAACAAGTGCTGCAAGGTACTGATTAAGTTATGTTCTTGCAGCCCAGGAAATAATGTTAAAAGCATTGCTATGCATATAATAACTAAGATTTGCAATTTGAAAAATCCTTAAGTGTAGTGCAACTGGCACAATCAAGGTCATACTTTTTAAGGCAGTCCCATTATAATCAGTCCAACAGCACATCATTCAGCATCTGTTCAGATAAATGTACAATGGCAGAATACAACACTGTTATTTCTTATGTATACTTTTCCCTTGCTCTTTTAAGTTATGGCTAACAATGGCTTGTTATAATTTAGCAATGTTCCTTTTAGATATGAACCTAAAATATTAATATATGTTTTCATGCTTGTCCATAATTGAGGTTTTTTTTTTCCTTTTAACTAGAAAACCTTTCAGTTAAAATTAAAATGTGTTATTAAAATACAGATCAGGTTCTTCCATGTAATTTGTTATATAAAGATTGGGGAAACATGCAGATCATAGGTTCTAGAATTCTTCCTAATCACTTACCAACAATGGCTCCACTTCTTTTGCATAATAAAGTCACATGTTGTCTTTACGTGTGCATATGCATTTCCTCCTCAAATATTAATCAGGGTCAGCACATATATATTGTTTATGTGTAATCATGTTTCTGCTCTCCCCTCCTGTATCTTTTCTCTTTGGGGGTGTATATACAATGGAAGCACAAGGCTGCCTGAGTATGCTCTAATCTGCATCAAATGACCAGGTGGAAGAAGGGATTGAGTGAGAATGGAAGAGTCAGCAACAACCAAATTACAGTCCAAATGCACTTCCTGGAATTTTTTTTCTTCGCAACCCTTACCTGAATCTTGGCCATTTTTGAATGTAAGCTTTCTTTTATCAATTTCTCTTATAATATCAAATTTGACACTATTCTTTTTCACTTTTGGAAAGTTATCCTGTTGGCTGAGTTCTGAGCCCTTACATCATTTTCTTCCAACATTCAATTGTGTTGGAAAGAATAAAAAAGATTTAATATATGTTTGAAATTAATAGGTCTACTGAAAAGAGTAAGGACCTATTGTTCCAATTAGGCACATCAGTCCATTCATCACAAGGAGTCAAACTGTATAATTACAATGCTCTAAACTATTACCTAAACTATCTAAACTATTATCACCAGGATCAGATGGATTACACCCCAAGGTTCTCAAGGAACTGGCAGATGTGATCTCAGAACCACTGAACTATATTTTTCAAAGATCCTGGAGCACAGGGGAACTACCAGAGGACTGGATAAGAGCTGATGTAGTTCCCATCTTCAAAAAAGGAAAAAAAATGGACCCAGGAAATTACAGACCTATCAGCCTGACCTCAATACCTGGGAAGATCCTGGAAAAGATAATCAAACAACGAATCAGCGAACACCTAGAGGCAAACAAAGTCATTACTAAAAGCCAACATGGGTTTGTAAAAAATAGATCATGCCAGACAAACCTTATTGCATTCTTTGACCAAGTGACAAAATTAGTGGATCAGAGGAATGCTGTGGACACAATTTACTTGGACTTCAGTAAGGCATTTGATAAAGTAGATCACAACCTACTACTTGACAAGATAGAAAAATGTGGGGTAGACAGCATCACCACCAGATGGATCCGTAGCTGGCTGACCGGCTGTACTCAGCGAGTGGTCCTCAATGGAACCACATCTACATGGAGGGAAGTGTGTAGTGGGGTGCCCCAGGGCTCTGTTCTGGGCCCAGTGCTCTTCAACATCTTCATCAACGATTTGGACGAGGGGATAGATGGGGAAATCATCAAATTTGCAGACGACACCAAGCTGGCAGGAATAGCCAACACTCCAGAAGACAGGCTTAAGATACAGAAGGATCTGGACAGACTTGAACACTGGGTGCTATCTAACAAAATGAAATTCAATGGTGAAAAAAGCAAGGTTCTATATTTAGGCAAGAAAAACCAAATGCACAGGTATAGTATAGGGGGTACCTTGCTCAATACTAGTAACTGTGAGAGGGACCTCGGAGTCCTAGTGGACAATCACCTAAATATGAGCCAGCATTGTGCTGCAGCTGCCAAAAAGACCAACACAGTGCTAGGCTGCATTAACAGAGGGATAGAATCAAGATCACCTGAAGTGTTAATACCACTTTACAATGCCTTGGTAAGGCCACACTTGGAATACTGCATCCAGTTTTGGTCACCGTGATGTAAAAAAGATGTTGAGACTCTAGAAAGAGTACAGAGAAGAGCAACAAAGATGATTAGGGGACTGGAGGCTAAAGCATATAAGGAACGGCTGCTGGAATTGGGTATGTCTAGTTTAATGAAGAGAAGGACAAGGGGGGACATGATAGCAGTGTTCCAATATTTCAGGGGCTGCCACAAAGAAGAGGGAATCAAGTTATTCTCCAAAGCGCCTGAAGGCAGGACAAGAAGCAACGGATAGAAACTAATCAAGGAGAGAAGCAACCTAGAACTAAGGAGAAACTTCCTGACAGTTAGAACAATTAACCAGTGGAACAACCTGCCTCCAGAAGCAGTGAATGCTCCAACACTGGAAGTTTTTAAGAAGAGACTGGACAGCCATTTGTCCGAAATGGTGTAGGGTTTCCTGCCTGAGCAGGGGGTTGGACTTGATGACCTCCAAGGTCCATTCCAACTTTACTACTACTACTACTACTACTACCACTACTACTACTACTACTACTATTACCTCTTCCATAAAATCTCAAGCTTTTCATATTGCAGGAAGCATTTTGCCAGAATACAATGAGTGTTAAGAATCTCTTACAGATAAATTGATATACTGCAAGGTACAGACAAACCTATTAATAACTACCACTTTCTCAGGTTCAATTTAAACTGCTAGTTTAATTCTATAAAGACATTTATGGCTGATATCTTTTCAGAGCTACCTCCTTGAATCAAAATTGATGCATCCCTGATGCAATGCCTCAGGAAAATGTGTTAGTAATTTTCAAGTACTGTAAAATTGAAGAAACAAGAAGAAGGTGCTTCTCCATTAAGTCCCCAAACCATAGTGTAGTCTTCCACTGAAAATCAGACTTGCCCTAATGTACTGACATTCCAGAAGAGGCTAAAATAGTTAGTTTCTCTTCCAGAGGGCTTTTTTAGTTTAGTTAAGATACCACTGTTAGAATTGTTCACATAATGTTGATTTTAATTAACATATTGGTAAATAAATCTTTGCCTATTGGCATTAAT